AAATGACTCGTCTGGTGTTTTTCGCCTCGTCTAATCTTTAAAAATCCAGACAACCTACTAGTTGAGAGACCTCTGTAATCTCACAGAATACATCATCATCATCATCATCATATGAGGCTGAAACTCAGGGACAAGGACAGTGGAGAACAGCCTGGGTAGGCGGTAATAAGAGTGGACAGACTGCAACAACATAAGCCGTGACTACGGCGTCCTGAGCTGCATCAGGACAGAAGTCAGTGTGTCGACATGTCAGGCTGAAAAAGCCGAGGAGCCTCGGCGTCAGTGGATGGGTTGACTTTCATCTGAAGGGAGGTGGAAAGAGAGAGAGAGAGAGGAGGAGGTAGAGAGGAGCGAAGGAGAAAAACAGGTGGCGAGAGAGTGCTCAGCTTCCCCTGAGTCAGTGTATTGTCCAGCTCTGGCTTCTTTTCCTCTCAGGATTTGTTTTTTTCTATATCCCCCCCGTCAATGAAAGAGGAGACGATGCTGGTGTCAGAAGGCTGCTGCATTCTTACTGTGACTGATTAAACTGTAAAAACACGAGATTTTTAACCTGAAACTGTATGTGATAATCATTCCTGCATCATGGCTATACAGTTTACTAAAAAAAATAAGAGTTAAGATTTGCGTTTTCATCACACATATGTGATAAATAGCCACGATGTACCGGATTTGTTTCATTCATGTAAGGTCATGTTGATCATATTTCTGTCTAAAGCGTGTGTTTGCTGAACCAGCGAGTAACACTTAATGCTAGAATGCAGCATGACAGTTGAACAAGTCCAGCAAAGTCAGCTCACTGACCCAGTAATGACAGCTACACAGCAGCTTCTATTTCAATTTTGCCATCATTAACCACCATAAGTCTCAACCAGGCAGCTGTAATGGCGAACCCACTGACCGAGCGACGGTGTGTTGCTTTGCGTTTTAACCTTTTATTTGTAAGAACAGTCTTTCGGCCTCTTCTAAATCCATATCACAAATGAACGACAACCCTAACCTAAACTTTTTGAATTTGCCGAACCAACAGACAACCAAACTTGAACCTCCTCGTCAGGGATAATGAATGAACCAATGTCTGAATGAACATCTCTTTGAAGACCATCTCTGCGTGGTTTCAGGGTTAAGTGTCCTCTGGGCTCCGTTCCAGACAGCTTATGCGTGTCTCATCCTGCTGTGCTGTTTGCACCCCATGAAAAAAATAAATAAAAAAATCCAGTGTTTGGTGTGTGACATCCTCCCTCCCGTCCATCCTGTCACCTCAGCAGTGCTCCACATCACTGCCAAGTCCTCCTCCTTCCTCCCTGTGCAGACATGATACAAGAGAAAAGCAGAGACGGTATGTGGAGCAAATATGTCCAGGTACATTTTTGTTTTTTTTATAATTTAGAACAACAGCTCAAAGCAGTTGTGTAAAGCTTCTATAAAACATAAGAGCCACTTCCTCAGAAGAAGTTGACCAGGCTTCTCAAATTTGTTTCCCTGCTCCCCGGGTTCCATCCAGCCCACTATTGAATTATACTCTCTTGTTTACCATTTTCCGCACATAAGAGAACAAAAACAGCTCAAAGCAAAAAAAGCAGGAGAAGCAGTGTATAATGTGAGTGGAGCAGCGGGAGCCCCGGCAGTGTCATGTCTGTGTCCTGGTCGCTCTAAGATAGCGCCGGCTGCAGAAGGGGGGAAGAGAATCTGTGTGGAAATGAGGTCTGTGGTTTGGGTGTGCTGGCTGAAGAAGGTTTACAGACAAGTCGGGATCATGCGCCTGTCTTTTTAATTAAGAAGTGCACCAAAAAGGAGTTTGCTTGGAATAACTGAGTGTTTATTGATCATACATGCTTGGAGTATTGATTCCTTACAGGAGGCTGTTCTTTAACCCTGTTATCAATCATTTTTCCTCTTTTATTCCCAATTAGGTGGCTCTGAAGGTGAAAAAAAACATCTAATGTTTACACTCTTAAGCCCAACAGTCAGTGTTTTATGGCTGCAGCTATTAAATGGGAATATTTGTGATGTCTTGAGTGTAAGTTTGCATCCCAAAATACACATTTGGCGTCTTTAGGATCGCAACTAAAACTGAAAATAATCTGTTTTTGAGCAACATTGGCCACAAAGAAGTAATGACTGCTTGCTCACATGACATCTCATTGCCTGAAATTGTAAAAAAACTGCCATCACAAGTTTCCATACCTCAAGGTTGCATCTTAAAAGAGCTTAAACCAACCATCAAACCAGACAAACCACCAAAAATCGCTCATTTGTGTGCAACAAACGACCCAAACAATTACAACCACCCTTGTGTTTACAGTTAATTTTAATCATTCTCGTACTGGGAGAATTGCAGATCCTTGTTTTCTTCTCTGTAACGACACAACTCCTTTTCAAGTTTCTTCCTAAGAGCCTGCCGGGGTGGAGGAATGGTGGAAATGAATTTGTTTTGTTGCGAATGACCCGCAGTCTTGTAGGCAATTGCAATTTCTCTTCCAAAATGACCTTCAATTCAATCGTTTTCTCAGTTTTCTTTCTCTTTTTTTTTTTCTCCCCCTCCCTCCAACACCCTCCCAGCCCATCCTTTCTCGTCACCGTTTTACTGTTTCTCTCTCCTTTTATCTGCCCACCTCGTCCTCTTCGGTCCATTGTTAAAATCCTCCCATATGCTGCGCTCCGTCAGAGCAGGTGGCAAACCACAGGCGGACTCTGCACCTCCGCTTGGGCTGGCGTCCGTCCCGCGCACCCCAAATTCATGTTGCCACTGGGCTGGCTAATCGGGGGGGGAGGTTGGGCAGGGCCGGGGCACTTAATTCTCATTCATTTTGATGCCCAGGTGGTGTATCTCACTGACCTCTTAGCGGCCTTGAAGAAGGACATGTATCCTTTCTTTTGTTCCAGCCCTTTTGTGAGTGTAATTTCCCTTCCTTCCACTCTTTTCCTTTGTATCACCAGTTTTTTTTTTTTTTTTTAAAGAATGGATTAAAAATCGCAGTATAGCAATTTCACTAATCACATTTTTAGCACATAAGTGATTTATTGAAGAAAAGGAATTAAGCGGGATCATAAATACGGCATGAAGGAGCCGTCTGTAAGAAATGAATACTGACAGTTAATGAAATTCGCTGATTTATTCCTCTGAAAACAAGTTCTAAAAAGCATTATGCCTATTCTCTGGGAGATTGGTGACATTTAAGAGCACATTCGGAGTTAGCAACCAGGAACTTTTTTTACTTATTAGATTCCATTACACTTGTTATTTAACATTCTGCAGATATCAGCAGATGAAAGGAAAAAAAAATGTTTTCTGTGCCAGCTGTGTGAGTACACATTGCCTTGGGCTAATCATTGTGTGTAATTCAGAAAACATGGTTTAAAAGCTGCTCGTTACGGCAGAATGTGCTGGACAGTTCACAGAATTTTACAGTTTATGCTCAAGTGAATGTGAGCGAATGGCAAAAAAAGCCGATATGTGACTATCTGGTATCATTTTTGCCATCTATGCTCACATTTGTCTTTTAAATGGTCCCTGAAAACTGAGTTCCTCTCCTGCTCGGGTCCCTCCAACACTGAAGGGGTTGTATGTGAGTACTAGCTGGATGCACTTTAGCAGGGGAAACATGCTGAGGGGGTGGGAGATGTGACAGGACTGCAAAGCTTTATAAATGGATAAAAGAGCCTCTATATGGATGTGTCGAGGATGTGCCGAGAATAAGAGGAGGGGAGAGGACAGGAATGGTTGAGAGACAATTCCACGTCACGCATTGGTGCAATAATCAGCCGCAGCATCTTGATGATAGTTACTACTCTCTCCCCGTGTCTCTCTCTTCCTGCCTTTTACCGAGGCTTCATTTCCGCAAAGGCACAAAACACTGTAACACGAGTCCATTGTGTGTGTTTTTAGAAGTAGCGTTATCTTCGCTGTACTTTAGCGCACAGCTGCTATCTCTTGAATAATTCTATTTGTTCCACTTTGAAGATTTTCTCTTTTTTTCCCGCCTCCTTTAGGAATACACAAATGTCTGCCCTTGGTATACTGATAGAAACTATTAGAAAGACGTGTTTACACACCGAAACCTGGTGTGTGAGAACTATTTGTGATATCTTATCTAATTAACAAAAATGCACATTGAAAGCAAATCCGTTTTTTTTTTTTTTTTTTTTTAATCTTATTGGAACTTTGACAGCTTTTCTCAAACAGCACAATCGATCCTGTCGACCACGGCCGTCTGCACATGTGTCGTATCTGATCCTGGATGACTTACATGGCTATGTGACGGACTGTACCTGGCTCTCTGTAATGGCTTCATCTGTCTTGTTTAGAGAATGTAATTCGTTGCTGACATGCAGGCTAAGTGAATATGCACACTGCTTAGGCAGTTTGATTTGTCACACTGTCAGTTGTTAGGACAGGGCAATAGCATGATATTTTATGTAGTTTCTAGGCTTCAAATTTGCAGGAATGTGCTATTTCTTACCAATAAGATAATTCAATTCAATTTTATTTGTATAGCGCATATTTACAACAACAAGTCATCTCATAGCGCTTCACAAAGGCAGAGACAGAAACACCCAACAATCCAAAACATTTGGATTCCCTATAAGCTTCAGCAGTCCGCACTTTATGTTTGGTTTCTAAGTTGCAAGAAATAGCTTTGTTAATGGTTGATAAATGTGCTTTTTAAAAATGGGCTTTTATTTTTAATTTTTAATCAGCAGTAAGAACAGCTTTTAGGTCAGTAGGTTGTGAAAAGACACTCTGGCGGGTATTTGTTTTTACATAATCCTTTAATTAATCTCCAATGGACTGTTTGACCACTTACCTTCTAGGAAAGAGCTGCAGAGCATCTGGACCCAGATCAAGTTTTTCACCATTTGCTTACATTCTTAACTGTAAACTCTGGAGCTTGTTAGAAACTGAGACGTTATTGATTTAATTATAAATAACAAGAAAATGTAATACAAAAATGTAAGTTTGATATTAAGGTGTTGTCCCCATTTGTTTCTGTTCATTTCAGAAAGACCCACCTACGATGCCTCTGGCTCCTCACCTTCACCGAGCGACCCTGCAGTCACAGGTGCTCCTGCTCACCCGATGGCTGACCCGTCGGTGGCAGAGGAGGTGCCTTTCAAAGTCGTCCATTCAGATGGTGACTCAGACTCTGAGGGTGAAGGTTTATCGGGGCAGCCAGCTTTTTCTTCTGTCTTAACCGTGATGGCGGGAACTGTCAAACATCCAGTGAGCCTTGATCAAAGCAGAACCTTGCCGACTTTCACCAGGGACGAGACCCAAACCACCCAATGGCCTTTACGTAGTTCCAGCCAGGGCTCGGACACGTCCTCCTCACCGTCACATGCGGGAGACAAGATCCTTCCAGCCAGCTCAGGTCTGATTTTCAGCATGTCTCAGAAACCCACCACACCACCTCAGGCTGTTGCTTCAACTGTCTTTAATCCATCACATGTGTCCGAGAATGTCTCATCATTTCCATCATCGACGGTATCATCGTCTTCACTGACAGCATCAATTTCCTCTTCAGCTCCATCCACGTCCTCTGTGTTATCATCCCATGTGCCTTTGTTGTTTCTATCATCTTCTGCTGAATGGATAAACAAAGCTGCTTCATCTCAAGGTCAAAGGATTCTTTCTACAGCAACACTATCACCAGCAAGGTCTCAGGGTTGGACAGGCGGCGTAACAACCGCACTTCCCACAACTCATTCAGTCGTCGACCTACCAGCTGTAACGCAGGGAATGCAAAGCCCAGCAACCGAGTTGTTTCCAAGTGACACCAGCATTGATATGAGCAATACAATGACAAAGCACTCCCTCTACTCATCAGTGGATAAAAACCAGGGACTAAATGAAGTATACACAAGTACTGCAAGCACAGAAGTAATGGCGATACCAACAACCAGCACATATACATCATCTTCTACTCCTAACAATGGTCAGAACCGTTTAAGTACTTTATACGGACCCATTCGAATGCAATACCAAGGTATGAACTCTGTATCCGACAACCATCTTGAAATTAGTGCCTCATTTCCCTCCAATCAAGAGAGTCAGGCTGTTCAAAGGCAGTGGGGAGCTTCACAGAATCCCACATCAGCGCTGCCGTCTGCCCATCCTAAAGGCTATTCAGTTTCTAGTCATGTCACACAGCAGATGTTAAACGGAACAGCATCTATGGAAAAGGAAGACAGGGCAGCGGCAGGCAGTCACGCGTTTGTTCACCAAAGCAATGCGGTTGTGACACCGCTCGGTCCACATGTTGTAAATCCAACCGCATCACCGGCAATGACCATCACACCCAGCGGTTCATTTTTTATGGTTTCCTCAGTGACTCCACCAGGAAAAATGTCTCTCTCTGAAACTGCAATCACCAAGCTAACACGCGTCCACTCTGGCATGATGTCCTCGGAGCATGCATCTAATCCCGGTGATTTACTGACGGCAGCGGGTCACAGCATCCCCAGAGTCCCTGCCATCGATATAATTTACAACCGGGAAGAGATGGCAGGACCAGAGCTCAGATCTGTTTCCACTCAGGCTCACCTCAATAACTCACTTTCACTCGCACAGCCGAGACCCGAGTCCACCACCAGTTCCATCCTCAGTTCTAGCACCGCAACAGGAACTATTCCGTCCTTATCGGAGTCAGATTTGCACCATTTGCTAAGAAACGGAGTCAATAATGTTAAGGAATCTGGAACGCAAACGGAAGGTTCCAAGGGCATAACTCAGGAGGACGGAGGTTGGATGGCACTAAAAATGACATTTTCCTCCAACAGCAAGCCATCATCTTTTTCAGAGTCCGCAAAGGATATGACCTATAAAACCATGCGTGAAAGTAGCTCACACCTCACTCAGCCTGCATACTTATATCTCAGTAACAACCCGAACCACATTAACGCAGATGATTCCACTGAGACATCTTTCAATAGTGAGATTAATTTTGCAGACCAGCCCCAAACTGTGTTATCGCCACAAGCAACTCCTACTGCAAGACCCGTTCAAACAAGACCTTTGCTCACTTTCCCCAACAATTTTCACACGAATGATTTAACCTCCAAAACATCTGAGCAGACAGTAGTGTCCTCAACTGAAAGTTTTGCCCAAATAAAGTCAGAGGGAACTGAGCTCCAACAAAGTGCTCACATGTCACTTGGAAACAAGCCCGTAGAGCGTTTCCACAGAACCACTGCAAAGAGATCAGTTTCCCCTTTATTTAATGGAAATAAAGAGTCTGTTCTGATCGGGGACGGCGCTTTTTACAAGAAAGACATTCCATCAGGACAGCTCACAACACACTTTCCATCTTTCATAACTACAACAGATGTCTTTACGCCGAATAGAAGCTCTAATGGTCACGGAAAAATATCTTCTCCTGAAATACCTTTCACCCCTGTAACTTTTGACGCCACATTAGAACCCCTTAAAAGTTTTTCTCATGAAGACGATGTGGCATCGGTGGGCCGTTACGAGCGGTCTTCGCCTTCCTCTTGGTCGGAAATCATCCTAACACCGAGGACAAACTCTTCCACTCGCTCTCAGGGACCAATCACCAGTGTGAGGAGCGATAAATCAATTTTTTATTCAGGCAGACAAACAACCATTGCCTCCACCGCTTCCTCTGCAGTAACTACTTCGTCCAGTGATGGTCAAAACAGCGTGGAGACGTCCAGTGCTATTTTCAGCCTTGGCACAAAACTAATGGCAACATATACGACGTGGAAAGCCACCAAGTCTATGTCTTTTCAAAGTAGTACACGTAAATTTGAAAATATATCTGCTGGCTTTGGTGGGGAAAAATCTAATTCACCAACAGATGGCCCATCATATGAACATTTAAACCTGGAAGACAGACAAGAGCGTAATGTGCACGCTTTAAATTCAACTGATTCAACAGCTGCTGCCGGTGATCCATATCCAGTTTATCCAACTGTTGGGGAATATGCATCTTTTACCTATGACAAAGGAACGTCACATTATAAGGAACAGAGTCCTAATATATCCCCAGCGAATCTCAGATCTGCTGTGGCTGTCAATGTTCAGCAAGGTGCCACTGTAAACACTGCTGCTACATCAGCATGGGGTTCAGATTCTTCTCCGCCGCTCTCTCGCATAACTACTGACTCCGTAACATCTTTACAAGCTACATCTCCTGCACTGGTGTATAAGAGCAATCACAGCCCCCCTCTGGCAAATGTTCACTCTCCTCCATCTGCGTTTGATTCTGCTGTCACTCTTCCAGAAAACCCGACTCACGGTTTGCCCGACACCGACAATATTGGTTATACCACAAATTCAATCCCGAAGACGTCAACCTCAGCAGCTGACGGGTCCGCTTCATTTCATTCATCATCGTCATTAACATTTTCATCATCATCATCGTCTTCTCGCTTGTCCTCTTTGTACATGAAACCCACCTTTTCAGCACCATCTTTGACACCAAATTCAGCCGATATGACATTGTCAACAACACCAAGCATCGATAAAAAGCTGTTACAACCCACTTTTTTAACGTCATCGCAAAGTTTGACCTCATCATTGTATTCTGAGGTGACTGAGATGTTTGTTCCTACAGAGGCAGAGATGGATGAGTTAACAGCTGGAACATCCAGAGAGCTCAGTTTCCCCAAAGAAAAAGAGGCCAGTCTAGCCCCCTCTCAATCCGTCAGAATTACGCTTTCTGCTGGGCCCACCGAGAGGACATCTCAGGTATCGCCTCTGACCCCTCGACAGGACACCACAACAGCCTCTGTGAAGCTAACCACCACCACTGTAGCTTCGACCACGAAAAACCCCACCACGACCACGCCTTCCCCGAGAGTCACCACGTCGTCAGCCGCCGCTACCACGCCGCAGCCCACGCTTGTGACCAGGAGAACCACGACCACGACCGCCAGGACCCAGACCAGCAGGAGAGTGTTCACGCCACCTGCCCCGAGGACAAGCCCTTCCAGGGGCATCACCACCGTCTTCATCTCCCCGTTCACCACGACCACAGAGGCTCCACCACAGCAGTGCAACATCACAGAAAGATTGTGGGTAAAAACAGGTAAACAATACTTTTTGTGACAGTCTCTAAAAAAAAAAAAACAATTTAATATGATTTCTCTGACATTTTTGTCTGCTGCTTGTCTTGGTTTCTCCTTTGTGTTTGTCTCTTAGTTGTTTCCATCTATGTGAGGCGGAACAGGCTGGATAGCATCCAGAGGCAGAACCTGCGAAGAGGATTAAGTCAAGGCCTCAGGAAAGCTCTGAATGACACCTCTGCCCAGGCACAGGTGAGACAATGAACAGTTCCAGAAAGGTTATTCAACAACAGCTGTTTCATCTACTGGACCTGCAATTGATTTAACAGGACTGTGTGTGCATGTTCATGAGAGTCATGAGATGGCAGCAACACAGTGACCTGCTCTTGAAAACCATTAATTCATTCCATTTCTTGTGGACAAAAACTTGACAATTTACCTTTAAATCTAGCATATGCCACATAGTCCAGAGACCTTTTTTGTTGTATTTGTGAAAAGTCTCTTTATAGCCATCCATCCATCCATCCATCATCTATACACCGCTTAATCCTCACTAGGGTCACGGGGGGCTGGAGTCTATCCCAGCTGACTCAGAGCGAAGGCAGGGGACACCTGGACAGGTCACCAGTCTATCACAGGGCTACACTTAGAGACAGACAACCAAGCACACTCACATTCACACCTATGGACAATTTAGAATCACCAATTAACCTCAACATGTTTCTGGACGGGGCTGCAAGGTGGATCGGTGGTTAGCCTCGCAGCTAGAAGGTCATCAGTTCGTGTCTTGGTGAGGACACCGGGATCTTTCTGTGTGGACTTTGAGATTAATTGGTGATTCTAAATTGTCCATAGGTGTGAATGTGAGTGTGCTTGGTTGTCTGTCTCTAAGTGTAGCCCTGTGATAGACTGGTGACCTGTCCAGGGTGTCCCCTGCCTTCACCCTGAGTCAGCTGGGATAGACTTTGGTGAGGATTAAGTGTTGTATAGATGATGGATGGATGTTGTTGGACTGTGGGAGGAAGCCGGAGAACCCTGAGAGAACCCACACTACACGGGGAGAACATGCAGGAAGATCCTGGGTGTCCTCACCAGGATGCAAACCGGCGACCTTCTAGGCTACGGTGCTAACCAGCGAGCCACCTTGCAGCGCTCTTTATATCCTGACACATTTTTTAAAAATCAGTGGTGCAGATAATAAAAAGAAGGAAAATCTGTTATCTTTGGCAGCCACAGGCCTATAAAAAGCCCAGCCAATCATTGCAGTCAGTCCGCATAAGGTGATTGGATGGCCTATGTGCCTTTCTAACGACATACCTGCCTCCTTGCATGCGCTCTGCCCAAGCAATCATTACATGTCACTTGAGTCTTCCACAAGGCCAGGTGGACACATTGATAAAGCTACTGAACAAATTGCACAAGAATGACCAAGTGCAGCCACATTTTACAGTTTCACCTAAACCTCAAAATCCTGCACTTTTCAACATGATTTTCATTGATGATTGCATCCATTCGTGTTTTTTTTCGCTACTGTTTGTGTTATGTGTTGTGTGCTACACCCCTCTCCCCACCAGTACTAGCTGTTGTAGATTTGACCTCCAACTGTACTGAGATAGCGCACGCTTTTGAGGAATGGCTTTCGAGGGAGACCTGAAGGGAAGGGAGGAGGTTTTTTTTTTCTGTGGTATGCTTTCAACATCTCTCTTGCTCTGCCTCGAATCCTGCATACTTTAGCTTTAATATGTTTTAACGTTAGGCATGCATGAAATGATTTAGCTGTGAAAAGGTAGCGACTCATGTAAGAAGTGCTCAAAATTCCTGTGACACTAAAAATGTCCCTGAATTGACTTTAAACGGACTGAGTTAGTGACAGTCTTAATGAAGCATTCTATGTTTTGGCTGACTTAGAGGCAGTTCTTTGTTTTGTTTATTTCTGGTTGGTTTGCAAGATTTTGAATATAGATATATAGCAATGTAGCAGTAAACAACTATCTTATAGGTTAAGGCAGGGGTGGGCAATCCTGGTCCTGGAGGGCCACAATCCTGCATGTTTTAGGATCAGGATCGTTATCAGGCTTCTGCAGAGCTTGATGATGAGCTGATCATTAGAATCAGGTGTGTTGGAAAAGAGAAACATCTGAAACATGCTGGATTGTGGCCCTCCAGGACCAGGATTGCCCACCCCTGGGTTAAGGTATAGTGTGATAATGACATCTTTAGCAACAACTGCAATCACACCCACTCTTTGTGGGTTTTAATCCAAACTTCCCCGGTCAGGCCACGTGTGCACGTCAATGCATGTGAGTGCACGTGAGTCCCTCCTTTTGAAACCTTTGGAGCTTAACTGTACTCATAAACACACTGAGTGTGACCTCCTACACTGGCTCTGGGAAGTGAAAATGCAAGTCCTGTGCCCCAACAATCCAAGAATTTAAAACAAAGTGTTTTATTCATGCTACTCATCGAACTTTTTGAAGTTTTCTTTTAAGTTAAGTGTGGCTGCTTTTTTGAGGTTACTCCTTCTGTTCTTTGTGTGTCTGTTACCAAACACTCATGCTACAGTCTGTCCACAGGTCTGATGGACCGTGGAAACAGACGCCCACAGAGGGGACAGGCGGGTTAAGTGAAGATAACTTTAATTGACGACAACTAGTTACGGCCATTCAGTGTAATTTTCAATGCTAGCACGGTTGTGGCTATATTAGTTTTTCATGTGACCAACGTGCCCATTTGTGTTGGTTCAAATAGCTGCCGCTGTAGTGCGACATCCACCGGTTCTAAATGCTGCAAAGAGAACCTTTAAAATTGTGTCTTATCCCAACCAGTCAACCAGCATCAACAGAGATTGAACAGCTGTGACAAGCTTCCTACAATCTGAAAACAACCTCTGTCATCCCAGCAGAGTTGGAATTCAGAAAGGAAAAAATATGTCTTTGTTAGGCTTGTTACGGGGGGGGATGGTACAAATTCTGCCAGACACAAACAATTGGTGTGCTGATGCCGAGAATTTGGGTCAGTGTGTTGTCGAAAAGCTGCGGATTGAGTGAAGTAAAAGGTAATTGTATCTCACATAGGCTGCTGATGGACGAGTACTTCTTCAGAAACTGTTGCTCGGTCTTCAGCTCAGGCTAACGAGTCACAAAAACTGCCTTTTTTTAACTCTGGCGGATGGTTCTCAACTGTGCGCTCGCCAGAGAAGTGGAGGTTTATTAGCATTAATAATACACTCATACCAAGGACCATCATGTAGGCTATGCGAAAAGAGAAAAGAGATGAGGACCAATATAGAAATTAGGTTGACTGAAAGTGTCCCAGAAGGCAGAGGGGTGATGTCACATATTTGAGTCGCTGTACCAACATTAAAACAAGATGTAGATTAGGACCGGGGAAGTGCTAGATATTTATAATCCACTGGCTTTTTTTATTACCAGTCAGAGGGGGAATCTATCCCTATTTCACCAGAAGGCGGTTTTTACCATAAGAATGAATGCGCCAGATTTGGTGTAACAAAAACTCAAGAGAAAACCAATCTCGACATTCCCCCCCCCGCAATAATGACACAAACAGATCCAGTGTGCACACAATGATGTTTGTGTGTGCGGATTAGTCATTTGTGGAACCAATCACGGTTCCCACTGTGCCAAAAAAAAAAAAACCTCAGCCTCTCTCTCTCTCCAGTAAGCCTCTAATACCTGCACTCAAAGTCGACTTTGTATCAGGAGCACCTCTTAGCCACGAGGAGCTCGGTTAAAGGAAACAGGAGTGTGTATATGTGAGCGCTCGTGTTTGGAAATAAAGAGATAAAGAATTACTCTGTTAGCTCGATGGTAAACATGTGAGGAGAAAATATTGTTATAAAAACAGTTTCCAGGGGTGTGGAAATAAATGGAAATGCAGTGTGATTCTTTTCCCTACAACTAAATTCTCCTCTCATAGTCTCCGGTGGGTTGAAGTGCCTTTAGAGTGTTGCAATTTTGAGCAAGTGTTAAGTGCATCAATGTGTGTGTGTGTGTTTACTTGTATGTGTGCAATCCGGTGAAATGTCTCTCCGTGTTGTATTTCTCAGCGTGGAAGTATCAAATAATCGAGAGTGAAGCCCGCGTTATTCGTCCCGGCCGCGATGAAGGTCAACGCTCTCACATGTTCGCTCGCTCGCTGTAGTCTCCGAAGGTGTCGTGCTTCAGTGCACTCCTGTCACCCATTTCGACATCGCTCGGGTTCCTTTTAGTAGTAGCACTGCTTTCTCATCCAATGGGAAGCAAGCTGTTGGCTGGGGAAATTGCTTCTGTGTTTAATTATAGGTTATAAATGGTTGGGAGGAGAGCGATGTGCTGAGCTGATGCTAAAAAGATGATGAAAAATAGACTAAAACGGATTCAACCGCAAGCCTTAAACCATTCCATGGAAAAAAAAAAAAAAGAAGCGATAGTAACTATTTCCGTGTCTTCCGTGTAGTTAAGAATCTGCCGTGACTTGAAACTTCTTGAATGCCAAAGCTGAAATCTGCTGGGTTAATCTGTTGCAGTCTTTTTTTTTTTTTAAAGTACGTGTGTTGGAAACGCGATCTCTTAATAACACCTTCACATGGGTGAAGCCTGAGAGGATGAAGCGATAATAAAGGGCTCTTTTCACAGAGCTGGTAACAAGGCTGAATTGTGAGGAGGCAGAGCGGTGACTCTCAGCTACAGAAACTAGGCTCTCAGTGTTTGGGCCGGTGGATCTGGTTGTCAGCGCGGGCTTTCAGATGGGTTTAGATAACGGATCTGAATAGCTTCACCTCTCCTACGCACACACCTAGCTCTGTCATCATTCCAGTTCACGGAAAAGTCAAACTCTTGCCGATGAACACTTGTATGTTTTATTGTCATGACATAGATTTTGCTTCTATGGGATGGAGAGAATAATAATAATGATGGCTGTTTGGATTAAATGTGAAGTAACATAAGCCTCTTTGTCTGAAAAACTCATCTCCTCTGCAGCCCTTCAGTCCTTCCTGGTTCTCAGCAGATATCTGTGTTATGCACGTAAGCTGTATTTAAAATATGGACATTACCTGCAGGTCTGAGTAGTGAAGCTAACGCAGAGATGCCTTAAGCTTGCATTCTTTCTACCAGCCAGCAGGGGGCGGCGTCTCTGATTTCAAAAAGAAGTCAAATTACATAGAAGTCTATGAGAAAACAACCCTACTTCTGACTTGATCTGTCACCTCAGCGAACATTTGTTTCATGAGTTTATGGTCTAAGTTGCACCTTTCAAGTATTTTTGAATACAGCTTGATGCTTCTTTATGAATCTATTTAGAGTAAAGTCGTCAGTGATGTATGTTTTAAGGCGCTACATCCTTGTGATTAACAGGTTGATACCATATCACCGTGCATAGTGACCTCAGGTTAGAACCGTCTGGTTTTAAAGGACCGACATGTCAAAGGCCAAATGCCAAACTTGAGCCTTCACAATAGTAGTCCATAAGCCAAGATGTGACATCATAGTTGCTTCGTCCATCTTTTATATACAATCTATTGTTATACAATACAAAACATCCATCCATCATCTCTACACCACTTAATCCTCACTAGGGGGGCTGGAGTCTATCCCAGCTGACTCAGGGTGAAGGCAGGGGACACCCTGGACAGGTCACCAGTCTATCACAGGGCTACACTTAGAGACAGACAACCAAGCACACTCACATTCACACCTACAGACAATTTAGAATCACCAATTAACCTCAACATGTTTTTGGACCTTGTGGGAGGAAGAACCTGGAGAGAACCCACGCTGCACGGGGAGAACATGGAGACTCCACGCAGAAAGATCCTCTCATACTGGGCAGAGTTACTATTGCAACAACACATCATCAGTAGGGTAAAATTAAATCTCATGATGGTCTAAACCCAGCTCACGTTCCCTATTAGTGGGTGAACAATCCAACGCTTGGTGATTTCTGCTTCACAATGGTAGGAAGAGCCGACATCGAAGAATCAAAAAGCGACGTCGCTATGAACGCTTGGCCGCTACGAGCCAGTTACCCCCTGTGGTAACTTTTCTCACACCTCCTGCTTAAAACCCCAAACGTCAAAAGGATCGTGAGGCCGCCTTTCATGGTCCGTACTCGCTTTTGCACTTCTGCTCCACAGGAGGTTTCCGTCCTCCCTGAGCTCACCTTAGGACACCTGTGTTACCGTTTGACAGGTGTACCGCCCCAGTCAAACTCCCCACCTGCCACGGACCTTCTTGCTGCGAGGCAACGATTCCAACCACCGATCCACCCTGCAGCCCCAATGCAAAACAATGCAATCTTAAGTGAAAAGTACAGTTTAATATTCATTTGATCTGCTTCTATACCTTTTGATGGTGCTTCAAAACCTTTGCAGATGAACTGCAAATACGTTACATTAGCTAAACAATTTTCACGACTGCTTGTATTTTTCCTTTTCTTTTTATTTTTTAAAATTTCACTCTGGTGTAAAGTGTATGTGATGCTTCATATTGGCCTCTTGCACAGCAGATATTTAGACTCGTCATTGTTGGAGAAGCACAGGTGTGCTCTGTTGTGTTCAGGCGTCCCAGTAAGCTGCGACAGTGTGACAGTGAGTCAGCATGCGTGGTGCCAGACTCTTGAAAATGAAGCAGCCAGTTCAGCCATTAAGAATTTTATTACACCTGTGCTTTGTAAGAAAGGCCTGTTGGTAAAGAACAGTCCCTCCGTCTGACCACACAATGGTGACTTTGACTTTAGAGGTCATTTAAAAAACTCTCCTGTTGACTTTCATGGATTACTGGTTATATTCGAGTGTCTGTACGTGACTTTCATACCCCGTTAATATGACCGGTGGTTATTCTGAAAGAAAGAAATCACTGTCAGCCATCAACTGTCAGATATTTTATCATACGGAACAACTGTCACTTGCGGTTGTTTTGTGGGCAACGGCGCAGATCAAGCTGTGGTTCTGCAAATAACAGCTTTATGGTCACATTAGATTTGCACGATTTTTTCGTCGGGGTGATAAAGTGCCACTTTCATCCCATAGGAGCTACAGATAAAGACCCACAGCACCGTCAGGAGGACGTAAACCGAGAGTTTAGTTTGGTTTAATCTTGGTCTGCATTGCATAGTTGTTTGGATGTTTTATTGTGAAACGTACTTTAGTTTTATGCTGTTTTTATCGATGGTTTTATTTTGTGAGTGTTTATTTCCAGTGTTTTAAATCAGACAGTGTCATTTCTATACTTTTATGGATCTTTCAACCATTAAACCAACCATAACTTTCAAGTATTTATTGTAATTCACTGGGTTAGCCAAAAACAGACACAGCTATCTGTTGACCGAAAATGACTTTTCCATTTATTTCGTCTGATTAAATCTTTATGCTGTGATAATAAAAAATAAATAAATAAGAAGAAATGATTAGATTTAGCTCATCTTTCAACTTTTTGCTGACCTTGAGTGGTTAAACATTGCTGCAGTGGTGTTATTGGTGCACTGACTGCTCTGACTTTACTCATCGCTATGGGGGTCATAGGTGAAACAGCTTTGATCATTTCAACCCGAGAGGGCAGTGAAGCAAACGAACCATCGTTTTTCAACCAGATGTAAAGTTGCTCTTTAATTCTTTGCTCTTTTAGGTGTAATCATTGTGTAATTAATGGGTTATAGCATTAAAAGACGACCATTTTGGCTTCTTAAAGGCATCTAATTCTCTGCCTCTCTCTCTGTTTTTTTACCCTTTACTCTCTCAGGTGGAGACTGTATTTGGTTCTCCCAACATGACGGTGGCTTATCACGTGACCGGAGGGGACTTAGTTTACCCTCCGTCTGTAGTGCTGGAAGGCTTGGCGTCCTATGGCCGCGATAAGCTGATTGCAGACCTGCGACAGTACCTCCCCATGGTAACGGCCCTGCCCCTCCCGGTCGCATCGTGGAGAATCATCCCAGCCGCCGGCTTCCAGCTGAAAACAGGTCAGCCGGCGCTCAGTCAGGATGAAAACAAAAAAAAAAATAAGTCAGAGATCACTTTGAGACTTACTGTTATTTGTCCCTGCTGTGACTGCGCCGCACTGGAAGAGAAGTAAATAAAAATGACGTTTGTGATACGACATCAGAGAGAGGAACGGCAATGTCACAGTCTGAATTTAGGTACTTAAATAGTATAGTCATGTTCGAGTCAGGGCTCCTAATATATCCACTGTCAAAGATATATATAAATATATATAACAAGAAAAAAAAACAACAACACTGTAGCATCAATGTCAAGAATTCTTTAAAAATACTTCTTCAGGTGCACAGTTTTGTCAACTTATCTCACTTTCATGTTGCAGTGCTGCAGTTTGTGGGAGCGGATGATGATCCTCGATCCTGTCGCTTCTCTCAAATGATGGAACAACGGCTTGAGAAGGTGTTTTCTGAAGCACAGGCCAAAGTGCTCAACACCAACAGCAGACTCTCTGTTCAGGTACTGTGGCGGAACAACTGTGCAGCACTTTCAGAACTGTGTAGGTGTTCCCGTCACTGTTGGCGTTACAACGATAATGCTGTGATTGCTCGCGTGGAAACTCGTGCAATGTGGCGTAGTCGAGGCGTTATTGCATATAAAATGGTCAAAAGAAGATTTTTTTTTGGATTGTGTCATGTATACGGTGCTTTCAAATCAAAGAAAAATGAATGACAAATGTTTTTTTTCCCCACATATTAAGATGGATATATAGGACAGATAATCTAAACAGCTTTGTCCTCTATTACGCATCAATATCATCGAGTTCGAGTGGTTTGATGGCCAAACAAATAGATGCAAAACATGTGCAATTTGAGCAAAACTGTTCCTCAGTGCATCAGGCTGTTGCTTTTCTTTTTCTTTTTTTTTTTAAAGAGCTGCTTCTGAGATGCAAATTAATTATGTTAGAGAGGCAATGTTTGTATTAATTTTAATGAGCTGCCACATTAAAGTGCACCCTATATTAAAACTAATTTGACGGTTATGCATGAATAAAAAAAACAAAAAACAAACTGATGCTGGAATATTTTTACACTCTTTCATGGCTTGCCAATTTCTCTGCCGTCGTGCTTCTTGATGATGATTCTTGTAATGTTTGTTGATCCAAGACAATAATTGATTTTTTTGTCACGTGTTATTTAGCAGAGGCCTTGTTCTCATTTGCACATTATAGTATATCGTGTAATCCCAAGCTATTTGGTTGTAATTTCTATGTTTCTCTGCGCCCTCTCGTCTGACCTCTTTCTTGTTTTCGTCCCAGATGCTGAGTGTCTCTCAGGCAGCGGGCTCTCCTGCTGTGTCATTGGTCTACACTGTGAAGAATGGGACCGTCTTCCTTAATGGCACCGCTGCTTCAAACCTCCTTGGTCAGCTGTCAGCTGAGCTGGTGGGCTACTTCCTCTTCTATCCGCCACTTATCATTGCTGAGCGTAAGTTGCAATTTGCATTCTAAAATACGCGTTTTTAGTCAGGAGCAATTCAACAGCGTTACAAGAACAGACACCAGAAGTAGTTCTCGTGTTCTCTTGGGAATGATTTGCTCTCCAAATACAAATTAGATTCCAAAAAAAGAAGAAAAAAAAAACAAGGGCTCCACTTTTCCTGACTTTTTTCTTGTGTCGAAGCCTAGAAGAGGTTCGATGTAAAGTTGTCAGACTCACAAAGCTTTCATCTTCAGGAAGGTGTATTGATTGACAATACGAACAGAAACCTGATTCAAACTTAGGAACTGTCGCTTTTTGTTGCATTCACATGGACTCAGAATGCAGGCAATGGTAAAACTCAGGAATCCCCCCCTCCTTTAAGCCTGACTGACGTCCAGTTTTTCAGTAATTGGATGTTTGTGACTGTTCTGCTGCTCTTACGATCACAGTTGTTTTCTAATGTTTGAGTCACTAAAAGACGGTTGATGAAAAGACACAACTAAGCCCCGTGCCTTTCATCTCAGCCTGCTTTGAGGACGCACTCAGCCTCCATCTGTGTTAGCATTGTGCTCAGAGAAATACAAATGAAGAGTGACAGGGAATCAGCAGGACTCTAAACAGCAATCCCAGGAGAGTCCCCAGTGTGCGGCCTGCGCCCATCCCCAGTGTACCTGCTCAAGTCCAGGGAAATATGGCAGATCATTTTTTACGGTGCTTTATTAATCCCTGGAGAGAGACTGATCTCATTCACAGTAAAGTCACAATAAAGATTCATCAACAGAATTAGGCATCTGCAGCCGAGATTTAAGCTCTTTCCGCTCTCTCGGTTTCACGTTGATTTCTAACAGGAACCACACTTTCCCGTCTTCCCCGTTACAAAATGCATGAGACCTTCTCAGTGTGTTGCTCTGGAGCAACAAGTCAACGAGGCGTCTTCCATCATCCACCCCGAAGTCAAAATGCCATATTTCATTACTACACGTCTTGCTTGAAACCTCTGCAGATCGTAGAACGCCACGAGGAGGGTAAATGATCTTTCATGTTTAACAGTCTTGCACAGGAGCTGCATTTTTCAGCCGTCTGTCTTGTGCGCGTCCCGTTTTAATCAATGCGAGTGTCTGCACGTAGTCTTGAGCCTTTTTTCTTCTGCTCAACATGCTTAGCAAAGTGATGGAGTGTTGGAGTCTGAATGTCGACGCTGAGAGAGCACTCCGCCCCTGCTCAGACTCCTGTACAGACAAAGTGTTGCAGCATTACATGCAAAATGGGTCTCGGGATCTTGAATAATGTTGCTTGTAAACAAACCACTGTCCTGTCAAACTCAGAGGTCTGGAGGAAATCTATGTGAGGATACCACTGGGTCAAGGACACAGATTCAGCCGCGGGACCGGATTTGAAGAGGCCCATGTGTGAAAATTGTACCTCTGGCTAGCTTTCTGTTCAAGCAGAAACAAAACTCCCCGAGCTTAATTTAAATGGGTTCTAAGCGGCTGCAGTGCTTGAATTTCTTTAAACTGTGGTCAGTTTGACAAGAGCGAGCTTTGGCTATGCAAGATCATGCTCAGGATCACGACAGAGTTGATGCTTGAGCCCGGACTTAAGCCAGGAGCTTTCCTGTAATACCCTCTGGCTGAAAGCATTTTATTTTAACTTTTCCCATTTTCCTCTGCTGCAGCCATTGTGGAAATGGGCTGAAGATCTCCTCTAACCTCCCAGAGTGCACCTGGTCGGCTCATATTTAGCAGGATTTACAATCAAAAGTTCACACTGTTAAGAGAGAGAACCCCGGCGTGTGCTTTTTCAGAAACTTTCTTAATCGATGAGACATTTGCAGTTTGGCTCCTTGTTACCTGCTGTTAGAGAGAAATGGATGAAATTCATGGTTTCATCATTCAACATCTGCAAATTGTCCAGATGTTCTGCATTTACAGGTGACCAGCTTGAGCCACATGCCTGGTAAATAAAACATGCTCACATGATAGTACCTTAAAATCTGGCGTGTGGGGCGCCGCTGTAGCTCACCTGTTTGAGCCGGCGTCCCATGTACAGGGCTACAGTCCCGATGTGGAGGTCATGGGTTCGAATCCCGCTCATGAACCGTTCCCACACGTCTTCCCCCTACTCTTCTCCCCTACTTTCCTGTCTCTCACTGATCTATCAAATAAAGGCACAAAAAAATAACTTAAAAAAAAAAAAAAAATCTGTCGTGTGCCGCCCACATCCGGACCAACCTGCAATGGATTATGGGATAGCGACAACCTCAGAAGATCAAAATATAAGATTAAACACTCGGAGGTCGTGTTTACCAAATGGAGGGAAAAAAAAGGAGTTTGCATTTCTCAGCTGAGTTTACAGGAGCCTTTGGGTTTGTGGGGTTGCATCCCTTAAATCCAGTCTTCAAAGGGATTTAAGCTCTTGATCTGGGATACAGTGTCACTGAGGGCAGATGGGAGTTTTTGGTTCGCTGCTCTGTTTAGATCAAGATAAATAGGATCTCTGGTAGTGAGCATTAAATTAAAAATCACTCTGTGCTGCCATCGAATTAAGTTTGGAAAATCGAGTTACCTGCAGGCGGGATGCTGGCGGTTGGCTGAGAGGTAGACGGAGAGGTAGACTCTGAGGGAGACTGACACGGAGGAAGCCTCGGCGAGACAGCAGAGTGAAAGAAAGAACCGGAGAGCGTGTAGCGGGGATTTGGCTCTGTTTGTTTTGCAGCCTCTCCGTTAGTGATATTACACTGTTCGCAGGAGGTGTGAGCATATGCTAGCGGCGGCTGCCTCCGCACTTCAAAGCCAATTATTGCAGTAAATAATTAACAGTGGGGGGATTCTCCTACCACCCCCGGGCTCTGCTCCGACAGAAAAAGGCCCGGGATCCTCTCACCGCTCCGAAGTGGCTGTTTTGCAAACCCCGTCGCTCCCGTGGCACTCGCGTAGGCCGGACTGCCATGTTCCAGCTCTTGTACTCCTCCTCTGCTCTCCAGCAATTTCTGTCGGGTTGAATATGAGTCAGGCTATTTGGAAAGTGTCTCTTTTTAGACGATAGCAATCACTGAGAACTATAAATGAAATATTGCTTTCTGTTTCTGGAGAATTTGTTTTTTTTCCCACCACTAACTTCTCGGAATGACTTACAAACGCTCTTCAGTGTTTAACCCCCTGGCTCTCATCACAAAACAGCTTCATGGGAAACCTCCTCGCTGATTAATATTCAACATGATTCAAGTTTATAGACAGAGCTGATTTCGCCGGCAACCCTGCAGCCCTATCCATTACCGATGCTAAAAACTCTCACTTTCCCCCCCTCTCTCCCTCCTCTCTCTCTCCTGTCATGCCTGAGTGTACAGTTCTGCTTTCACAGGCCACTGATACATCATCTCCCCCCCAAAACACTGCACCAGCCTCCACCACAAGAGCTTAATCAGGCAGGAAATAGATGTAAGAGAACACAAAGACAACCAGAGCTCAGACAGCTTTAAATACCCCCCCTCCATCGCTTCCATATTTGTCTGACATTCAGTGATAATGAGGCTTTAAACTGAGATCTCAACCACACACACACAAAAAACTGTAAACTGTTCTCATTGTTCGAGGAAGGTTTGAGAAATGCTCTGATTTGCAAGAAATGGTGCCTCGATTACTAAACGTCTGGCTTAAAAAACAAAAAAAACAAAACACTACTGGGACAATAAAGTGACAGTTGCAGTGGTGAAAATGATAACTTATTTATTTATTTGTTTGACTTTGCAGCACTGGAATATCACAATCTGAACACCTCCATTGCAACCAGAGACTTCTGGGTTGTCACAGGTAGGAATCAGTGTATTTTTTTTATTTATTTACCCTTTTCATTTTTTTTTTTATTTTTTAAAGCTGATTATTTAAAAGAATTATATATATCTTCTTGGTGACCATTTGTGTGTAATTTTACAAAAGGTATCCAACATAGTGCAAAAAAAAAGAAGAAGTTTTGATTATTTGTATTTGCTACTCAGAGTGTTTGCAGGATATTCCATTAAAAGTCAACCATCAGCCTCTCCCCCTCACAATCAGCTGTTTTTTGTACAATAACTTTAGTATATTTAATGAGGCCAATGCCAAATGTTAATGATATGAAGTATTAGTAAGTACATCATTATTAGATACAGGCCACTACATATGTAAGGTTGGGTTGAAATTTCTTTCCAGCATTTTTGAGCCCTCGTGATTTCATACATGGGCTGCAAGGTGGAGCAGTGGTTAGTACTGTTGCCTCGCAGCAAGAAGGTTTGCATCCCGGTGAGGACACCCGGGATCTTTCTGTGTGGAGTTTGCATGTTCTCTCCGTGCAGTGTGGGTTCTCTCCGGGTTCTCCGGCTTCCTCCCACACAGTCCAGAAACATGTTGAGGTTAATTGGTGATTCTAAATTGTCCATAGGTGTGAATGTGAGTGTGCTTGGTTGTCTGTCTCTAAGTGTGGCCCTGTGATAGACTGGTGACCTGTCCAGGGTGTCCCCTGCCTTCACCCTGAGTCAGCTGGGATAGGTGACCCTGGGATTAGGCAGTGTATAGATAATGGATGGATGGATAATTTCATACAGAAAATCTCACATTTGCTCAGCACAATTTTCGCTATTAGCAACTTTGTGCACCAATATCATGGGATATATCTTAACTTCAAGAGCAAAACCTCACTACTCTAATGTCTATGACATGGGCATTGGTACCCTGGATGTGTTATCTGTTTACCAATAATTCACAAGTGCATTTTGGGTAAACTTTCAAGGGTCTCATCATCATGCCCGATAGGTTTTCGGTCAAAACAAGTCTAATTTTTACCCACACTTTGATGCCAGGGTCATATTTAAGCCGTGGTCTGTGTGAAAACATTAATGTTCACATGTTTGCGATATTCGATAATTCGGACAAATCACAGCAATTAAAGAAGATTGGAGCATTCAGTGTTGTCTGAGAATCTTTTAAATTCTACTCTAATCGTGTATTAATTAGTTCTTGTTCTGTCGGATTGCTTCTTTCTGTCGCCTGATTGTAGGAAAAAAAAGAGGATGATGTACAATCTTGGTTTCTTTTCTTCAGTGCCAGGAAAATAATTGTGCAGGAAATATAATGTTTTTTAATTCCTTCATTAAATAAAATCTGAAAATTTACATTGCATGAGTGTTGAATTATGCCTATATTAGAGAAATGAGATTTCACTTGCAGTGGTGACACCTGGAGTGGATGTTAGATTGATTTGGTCACAGTTACAGTTTTTAACTGAGCTCAGAAGGTTTTTTTCCAGCCTGGAAAATTTCATGTGACTATCTCCTTTTACGTGTGAAGTTATGAGGGCCAAAAAATCCTGGAAAAAAAGTATGGCGAATTAAAAAGCGTGAAATTTCGACCCACCTCTATGTTCTTCAAGGGCCTCGGAAAATATTCATAGTGTGAAGGTAAAATTTTGCACGGCTTCATAAAATATTACAAAAAGTTATTGTAGAAAAAAAAAAAAACGTATTCTAAAGGTGGTCAGGTCGGAAGTTTTTCAGATCTGGTTGATTTTATATGGAAGGACCCATTATGAATCCCTGATGGTACACAGCCAGTCGCCATTCTTAAACTGCTTTATAACACCAAGTGAACAGGACTGACAGAAATGTGTGGCACTGTTTATGGAAACTTTACCACATATCGCACCTCCTTATGTCCATAATCTAAACTGTCTCCTTTAACAGGAGCAATTAAGGGCGCGGGCGTCCTTGATAGTATTCGCTCGGTGGGGCTTATGAATGACTACATATGCTGAGCAGGAACAATATATCTCCCAGCGGTCAAGGGCATCCACGCTGCTGTACGTACTGTGTAATGGATGGCTCTTTCGCATCCGACTCTGTAGCTCTTAACCCTGCACTTACTGCAATGAGAGGCTGAGTCGGTTCAAGGTCGGCCCCTAGATAATGGGATTTACTCGCGCCGAACAAGATATACAACCAGGATTGTTGCTTTTCAGCTGTTGATAAAACAGAGCGGCTCTATGAGGTGAGGTTTCGCCACTAGAGGACGGATAGATTCACATTTCTTTCTGCAGCAATGCACTAAGTGTGAGTTAATGTCAGAATCATAGACTGTATAAAAGATGGACGTAGCTGCCGTGACGTTGGTTTCTGCACTGAGAAAATGAAGCCAGGGTTTTGCTACTTCCTGGTTGACATCTTGGATTTTTGGAGCCAAAAATTGTCAGAGGGGGGCGGAGCCATAGGAGCAGCGATTGGTCAGATGGATTGAGAGGCGGACCCTCTCTGCCCCGCCCACATTTACCGCCTTCTGCTCACTTCGTCTGTATGGTCGACTGTCAATCAAGCCAGCCACGCCCCTTGCCCCGCAAAATGTTGATGATTTTTAAAAAATTCAGTATTGATTTATTTTCAGATTGGCCACCTGATCTCTGGATTTGACCATGAAAACTAATGAGAAAAAAATCCTGAGCTGTAGGAATGCAGTATTTCATGATCTGTGATCACTTCTTTTCCAGTTTATTTCTATGGGAGCCAGGGCTTTTTGGAGCCAGCAGCTAGTGGACGTAGTGATATTGCAGGTTTTTGACCCTTCCGGGTTGGCTTCATTTTTCAGGGCCGGTTGCTACGTCCATCTTTTATACAGTCTATGCTCAGAATGCATACAGTGCTTTGTCAGTAAAGTCAGGTGAATGGAACTGACTCAAACTATACCACAACACACATATATTACTAACTCTGCCTCTGTCCCTTCCTTCCTTTGTGCTGCTGTCTGTCCTCGCCAATAATTTATTTTCTCTCTTTACAACCATCTGGCCGTCCTCTTTCTTTCGACTCCATTTGCAGTGATCCAGGATGTGGATAACGCCAGCCTGGAGGGACAGTACCAAAGCTTTGCCAGTCTAATGGAGCAGCGGCTGGCAGAGTTGTTCGTGTTGGCAGGCCAGCAGGGCACTCGTTTTAGACGAGCCACTACTGTAGGCAGCTACACCGTCCAGGTAAGGAACTGGCACGTCGCTCCATCTGGGGAATGCCAGACGTTTTGGATTCTTATTCTGATGTTTTTGCCTGACTGCCCTGGCATGTTAGTCAGAAGTCAAATTAGTCAGATTGTTTTGTGGGCTTGTTTCTAACAGTATGAATATTTCATAAGATGTACACTTTGATATGCACTTCTGCACACGCTTGCATGATTACTTGTGGTCAGCCCCTGATAATTAGGGAGCTGCTCAGCTCATCATCTGCTAATTGCTCATCTGAACAAGCCAGAGGTTGAATCTTTTCACTAAACAAATACTCTCTTCTGTACGTGTGGTTTGATTCCTCTCAGGAGACTTCACACCTAAATGCGTGGGTTTTTTTTCCCCCCGACATGTAATCCAGCTGATACTGACAGCACATCCCCCTTTTTCCCCCTCTCCAATCAGATGGTGAGCATCCGCAGGGTCTCGGGGCTGAAGAATCCAGCAGAGATGACCTACTACGTCCAACACAATGGCATCCCTTTATCGGGCACGTCAGCCGCCAAGGTGCTGAACACGGTCGATTCCCAAACCATGGCGCTCACCCTGGGCTACTTTGTCCAGCTGCAGGCGGAACGTAAGCACAGCATCCTTGGAAGCATTTTGCCAACTAGGCAAATCGACAGAAACACTCAGAGACAGACATGCAAACCAAAACAAATGACTCATGCTGAGTTTGGAAAGAAAAGCTGGTGTTGGGATGAGGGGCGTAGAAGAAAAGGTTGAGAAAGCGCTTTGCTCTCTAATCTCTCTGAAATGCTCCCGGCAGGACACTGTTTGTTTGGGCTGCAGAGCCGAGGAGGAGAGAAGGGGAGACGGGGTGAGCTGGAAGAGGAGAGAGGGAGGCGGGGAGGGAGGGGAGGAGAGCATTCTCTTACAGAGTGTCGTCTACAATAGCTGAATCAGGCACTTTGTGTATCAGGTTGAGCCGCGGCTTTTAGTGTGGGTGTGATGAATGCTTCTGCATGTTTCAGACTGTGTGTTAGATCCTTCCAGCGAACCAATCACTGCGCTAATGGTGATCATTTTGTCATGAAGTGATGATGGTGAAAAATGTTTTTTCTTTTTTTCAGCTGTGGTCAAAAACCCTCCTAACAACCTTTGGATAATCGCTGCAGTGTTGGCCCCGATCTCCGTAGTAACGCTCATTATTATCATCATCACTGCTGTGCTGTGCAGGAAGAATAAGAATGACTTTAAAGCCGACGCCATCGGTAACCTCAATCCCAGAGCCAAGGTATCTATATTCCTGCGTCTCTGTCTGAGGTAGTTTTAATTATCTTATGCGCTCTTGTTTTGATAGTCAGTTCATTGTTTAGTCATGCTTCTCCAATGTAATAATTTGCTGCTTCTCTTGATTTTATGTCACTGCAAACTGGCTGCGTTTGGGTTTTGGATTGCTGACTGGACAGAGCCGTGCACAGACCTCGGGCTCTGGGAAATTAAAGTTTCTGATCTATAAAACCATTAATTGAGAAAATAATTAGAGCATTAATTATATAAAACTGCATAGCTACAGTATGCGGAGCGTGTGGTGTGTAGGCAGCTTTCTGTATCCAACAGTGAATCCTATATGCACCTTTATCCTGTATTCTGTGTTTCATTCCAGGTTTTCTACATTATTCAATCTCGGCGCCTCGTTTAAATGCATTGGCACAACTTGAACCGCACACACACACACAGTTTAAAACATTTTCTTTTACTTTCAGATGGCGTATCGGAGAGACGTGGGCTATTATCACCAGGTATCGGCCTCTGTATTTCTTCTCATTACCGATCCATGTTTTCATTTTCAAGGCTCTACTGTGCCAACAGTGGGATTTGAATGGGATTGTGTGCAGACAACACCTGTGATATATTTCAATAAATCCCGCTGCGCTAATGAAAACTAAGGATACAACAGCAGTTTGGAGTAACAAAGCTTTCGCAATGAGATTTTCTTGGATGAGGGGCTGGTATTCTTCTTATAGCAGTCTCCAGATGGCAAATTCGAAACACTAAGCTTTACAGAGAATGGTTATTAAGGGGATCGCGTTTTTTTTCCAAGCAGAATGAAGGCCTGTGTCGGGGTGTGTACGGACACTTGTTTATTTTGTGTAGGGAAGATTGAAAACGGTTCCCATCACTGTTGCATCGAGGGTTGCTGCATTGTGTCCGAAACAAAGTTATGTCTCCACCTCCGAGTGTGTGTTGTGTTGTTTTTTTTCTTCTTGTGCTCAGCAGTACACTGGCATACATCACTGTAGATAAATGAAAATGCGGAATATAACTCCCGGCACATCCCACTGCTTTATTTATGGAATTTCATTAGAGAGAAAGCAATAAAATCTTCTATATTAAACTGAAAAAGCAACTTCAGAGCAGTTATTCCGCACAGTCGAAGGTCCTGCAAAGACTCATCATGCAAAAAAGAAAAAACACAACATTCCCAGCTTCATTCTGTCAGATATTAGATACCATTGTCTCAGTGACTGTATAGCCAGCTCTTTAAAATAAGTAAAAAAAACCAAGGAAAATTCTTGAGATAGTTCGTCCTAAAAATTTAAATGAGGCTCTTGCGCTATCGTTTCTGCATCGCTCGCTATCTGCAAGCCGGCCTCTTTCATCATACACCCTTGTTAGTCTTTCGAGACCGGGAAGAGTCGCACTTTCAGTTAGTGAGAAAACGGATTCCGTGAAAATCTTTACTTTAACGCGCGCGCGTGTGTGTGTGTGTGTGCTATAGAGTGTGAGAGGATTGAATGTTTGGAGAGTATCACGCATTGATTTTGCACCACGGCCGGACCGCTTTGAGGCAGTGATGTGTGTCTGACAATTTATGACACAGTGATGAGATCGGCCCTAAATATTTCAGTGTATAGGTGTGTGTGTCCGTATTAGTGTGTTGGCCCGAGCTTCTCCGGCCTCTTGCTGTACCATCCTCTATAAGCATAGAGAGAGACAGAGCCCTTTTAGTCCTGCTGATTTTCCCTCCAATGCATTCTAATGTTTAACTTCATTACTGTATTTCTGTGAAAGTCTGCAAATCTCATCTTGTCACCGCCCACTGCGAGTCATTTATTTGACAAGAATTTGGAAGGACATGAAAAAGGGCCCCAGTTAAGTCTGTGCTTATCTATTTAAAGGCACAGCAGTGCAGTAATCCCAGTTTGGTTCCTCAAATCCTCTGGACATCAAAAGATACACTTTTTTTTAAGGATTTTTTTGGGAGATTTTTGTCTATGTGCCACATCTGCTTGGCAAATGCATACGTCTTTGTTTCTCCCATCAATAGTTACTTTTCACAACCATAGGTACATGAAAGGAAATCAATCTTACTTAAGCTTTTCCGTCTGTCTCTCTCCATTTTCTTTTTTTTTTTTTACCCAACTTGTCCATCAGCCAGTCCAGGGTTTCGACTACGCCAAGCAGCACCTGGGCCAACAGGGAGGCGATGAGGAGACGCTGCCTGTCAGTCAGGATACTCTGGTGATGTCCCTACAAATTCGGGACACGCCGCTTTCGCTGGAAAAGGCTCTGCAACAAGACGGAACTGCCAACAAGAAAAGCCTCACCGCCGACAAACACAAAAGGTATCATTGACTCGACATGTATTCACCTTCTCGCACTGCGATCGATGCCAGAAAAAAAAAAGAAGTGAAAATTGTGAAAAGAAAGCTAAAAAAAATGTTCTTTCATATCGCTTGTTTTACTCTGAGGCCCTGCACGTGGGTGAGCCATGTTGATATTCAGCCCAGGAGAGGATGTTAAATACTTTTACTTTGTGTTTGTATAATTAATGATCATTTTAATATCAAATTAAAAGCCTGTTCGCAGAGCAGTTTTAACAAAACAGCTTAGTCAGTGTCTCCGAAGCTAACAAGGACGTAAAAAGCACCGAAAACACCGGGAAGCAGTTGACAGATGCGTGTTTGTGTACAGATTTGTATGTGTAAGTGTGCAAATCGTCACAGTGATGGATATGAAAGAGCCTGGGGCAGCTCCGAGGCAAAACAGCACTCAAAAGTAAGTCTATGTTTATTAGAACTTGTTTTAATTACATGCTTCAGTTTGGTGTGGAGTCGGGTGTTCAGAATTAGCACAGTGCGCCTTTCAGATAGTTGTTTTAGAGTTGAAATGAAATTTGATTTGTGCAAGAAAAAAATATGTAAATACAAATAACGCTTCATAATTAGGAGAACCGCTTTCTGACTCTGCCCGTCTGTGGAGCATCCAGGGTTCAGAGTGCTGCATGTTTTACATGACTGCTATTGATTAAAATCCACCAGGGTGGCTTGAAGAAATGCAAATATATTTTCCCCTCTTTTTAAGATGTTTGCATAGCATTAGAGATCACATATTAGTGATTTAAGCCACAATGTGTGGTCAGTTTCTGCAATGTGAGGATGACACTTAAGCATAATCAAAAATATTCATCATCTGCAGCTTTTAAGATCAGCTTAACAGGCTCTGGGAAGCTATAACTCATGGGACTTGGCTCAACATCTTAGCCGCATCGGTTAAATATATATCTCAGTTAACACGCTAGCATGTTAGAAGGAAATAACTGAGCCGCATTAGTTCATTAAGAATTAATCTAGGGTTCTTCCTCCAACTGCCAAACACCAATAGGGTGATATAGTATGGGCGTTATCTGCTCCGTCGTGGTTTGCGTGGAGAGCGGAAGGACGATAAAACACCACAAAATCCCTGCAGCCCTGTTGTCTGTCCTCGTTTCACCCCGATGCTGAGGGATAGGCGATCGTTGCCAGGCTTCTCTGTATGGGCAGGTGAAATTGACCGCTTTCCTTCCTCTGACAGTCTGTAGCGCTGTCTCGGAAATTAATTGCCACGTTAAATCATTCTAAACTATTTAATCGGGGGAAACGCAAAAGGGCGTCATTTTTCAAAGCCGCGCAGGATAATGATATCAAATTAAATTTATGTCACAGGATAGAGAATCTATAGACTTGGTGGACCCGCGGTAATGATCTTGAAGACTCCTGAGGCAGCAAAAGTTTTCAATTTGTTATTCGTCAAACTGTTGGTCGTGAGGATTCCTGAAGCTCTTTAAGTCTTCAGGTGTCGTCATTAATAGTTTGCTGGTTTTCAGCCAGCTGTATGCTAATAACTCAGTAATAACAACCTCCTTCCTGCATCCTACACACTGATAGTAAAGGAAGAGATTAGAACTACTGTGATTTATCATATTCTAAAAATTGGGTCTCTTTTAATAACTGTCACCACTTATGAGATAATTATCTGGTAAACAATGGCAGTTCATTAAACCCATGTTGATTGTGTCACATCAATCATTAAAGTGTGAGTGCCTTTTAGATTCCTGAACCCGGTGAACAGTTTCATAAACTACTATCACCCTCAGTTTGATACTGGTGGATTACATCACCATGTTTTTCCAGTTTAACCCCCAGAATCCCAAAACCTACCACCAGGTTAGAAAGGATTGTTATCCTACCAAAAATAGCCACGATTTGTCAAAGCAAGAAATTGTAAAACCTGAAAGAATCGTTTGCAACTTTCCAATAGTCCTTGAGCTAAACCCAGATTCATTAGGAAGTGTAAGAAAATCTGTGCTCCCTCAGCAACAGTCATGCGACAAACATTTCGGGACTTTTCGGCAGAACCAGGCTGAACTGCAGGCTGTGTTTACACAGAGCAGATAGGAGACGAGTAAAGAAAGAAATAAAAAAACATGCGTAGTGGATGTGGAGTTACAACTTTTCCTGTGGAAACATTGATTCCAAGTTTTTAATTTTTTGTCAATCCTCTTTTTGATGATTTATGTATTATAACCTGGTGAACAGAAAACATTTGTCTCTACTTCGAGCTATAGTTGTGTAATTTACATAAAGGTACAGGACTTTATATTGCAGTGAAACATGGGTGGATGTTGAGTAAAAATGTGACAGGAGCAACAAAAGCTCAGAAACTAGAGTTCAGAGGGTTAATAACAGAGTACAGCAGTAGCTATATGTTTAGGTTAGAGTATTGAGAAGACATCACAGTGACATATTTCATAATTTCTCTATCATGCAGCATGTAGTATAGCTGGTGGAAAACAGGTGTCACACAAGTGCAACAAGATTTTAAATCCGCACTTGATGAGTGAATGCTATGTTCATTGAGTCAAGTGTGTGCTCATGGGGTTTTGTTGTTGTTGTTGTTGTTGTTGTTGTTGATACCTGAAGCCACGACCTGTCATTCACCTGTTGTACAACATGTTTGAAACAACTGTCCCTAAATGCCTGTGGAGCCACGTCCTGTCCTTACATTTGTATTATGATCACGTTTAAGATGTATATAGTGTAACATATGTATAAGAGCTGGGGTGTTGCATCCATTACAAATGAACCAAAAGAACAATAAAAAGCAACCATGCATGCTGCATATAATTAACTGCTCCTTTCTCTCTAATGTCATCCATTCATGTGTGCCAAGGTCAAGCATCTGTATTAAACTCACAGACAGGATCAACCCTCTCTACAAGCCGGCATAAACTTAATCTTAAACTTAATTTTTTTTTTTACACATTATGCATCCCTACACAGGCCGTGACTGCTGCATGGAGCGAGCTCTCTGCAGCACTGCCTCAATTAGAGCAAGGGAGGGCAGCCACTGTTCCACAGTCTCTCTTTGCTGTTATCAATTTTAGCAGACAATTAGGGGATAGACCGTGGCGCTTTGATGTCACTGTCAGCCTTGTGGTCTTCTGAGCCGAGGCTTGATCGGCTCTAATTCCGACTACAGTACGGCGTTTGAAGCTAGTAAAACACGAATTGTATAAAGCAATTGTTTGTCCAATTAATGCGAGAACCGGTCGTCTTTCAATCTGGACATGAATGCGCACCGCTATGCGACATGCATGACACCTAATTAAGAATACATGTGTAGCAGAGACACATGGACATATGCAAACAAGCAGGTAGATGTACGATAACATGCATCTTCACACACCGCTTGATAAGAATGTCAGCATATAGCAGCTTTATTAGCATAATTGTTTTGTCTCCTCTACAATTATATCCATTTTCCATCTTTTGTTGTAATTGTAATGCAAAACCTGTGGACATCAGTATACAAAATATGAACACTCGTACATGTATAGTCCTGTTTTGGGTGATATTCTTTGAACAGTGATGGTTTTAATATGAACACGCTATGCAAACAAATACTGTAATAACACATCAAGGCTACTGGACGCCGGCTTGAGAGAGAGAGGAAGGAAGGTGAGGCTGGTAAAGGGAGGGATGACATAACCTGGCTGTGAGCCCAGCTTCCTGAGAGCTCACCGCCTTTCCTGTTGCTATGGTTACTTGCAGCAAGTTGCCAAGTGAGGATGGTTCCGTCATCAGCAACGAATCAGAGAAGCTGAATTCCGGCAGGGGCCTGACAGTGCCGAAAGTCACAGCACAGCAGAAACTGACAAAGGAGGAGACGCGCAAGAGGGATGGTGAGAGTGACACGTAAATGAAAAAAACAAATAATTGAGTCCTTAGCTGGTTTGCGCCCAAGGTCAGATGGGTCACAGATGGCAGAAATCTCCGTCCTGCTTGAAACACCTTCTGTAGTCTCAGTTTGTCATGCACACAGGTACTGAAAAAAAAGAAAGAAAATGCATTGCCACTGCAGCTTTTATTTTATAGTCAGAAAGGTAGCCACTCAGCAGGAAGCAGAGATGGACCTGATGAATATGCATGAGTGTGACGCTCTGCTGACATGACACAGTGTGTCAGAGCAACGGCTGCTGTGACACGCTGCCACAAACACACACACACCTGCACTGATGCAAAACAAAAAAAAGAAAAAGTGCAAAGAGACTATGCGAAGTCTCGCATCTCGTGCTCCTCTAAGATGCTGAGCAGTTTAAAGTAAAAGCCATTTGGATGCTGAATTATTTGCAGCTCTATTCTTGTTCGCTGAAGCTAAATGTTCCACATGTGGCGGGTGCGGGTTAAATTAATCTAATTCAGATGCTCTGCTCGTGAATTGGATCAAGCTGGCGAGATTGAGATTTTCTTAATGGGCGGATCTGAATTATTCATCAGCTGAGTTAAGGGAAACTAGATCTGAATCCAGTTTGAAAGTGAAGAGTCAGTTTCTTTCATTTATCACAGAGATGCATCGGCACAACCTCGGACGCCAAAGCTATCTTTATGATCTATTGTCTCCGTGTCGGCCACTTCATTTGCTGACACAGACCACTGATGTCTGACATAATCCCAAAGGTGACAGAGAGAGAGAGTGAAGGGGGGAAAAGTCAGACAGACATGTAATGATTAGAGGTATTTGTAGTCTCTTTGTGAGTGAACTCCTTCTCTGTTCTTCAGATCCATATGACACCTCCTCTGGCTCCCTGCAGCTCATTTCCATAAAGCCCATGGCGGCTCAGACCAACTACTCACACCCTGCATCCTCCGACCGAAGCCAGGACTCAGCCATTGTCAACGGAGAGGTAACGCACACACCCACAAATACTGATGTAAACAAATACACATAGCAACATACATGAACAGAAGTTTACATACATTTGTAAAGACCATGTATATCACGGCAATCATTCAATCAGTGACTCCTCAGACTTTTAATTTTCTATGATGGAATCTTTAAACCTTTGTTTTTTTGGTTGTGAATTTGATCTGAAAAATGAATAAATCTTCTGGGTCAAAAATATCCATACAGCAATACTCATATTTGGTTAAATGTCCCGTTCTCATTTTCACCTTAACCGTCCACAAACTTCTGGAAAACTTTTCTCTCTATCTTTAACTCCTCTTGACCGAAATAGTGCAGTTCAACTAAATTTGATGACTTTCTGACACAATCTTGTTCCTTCAGCACACACAGATTCTTGATGGGGGTTAAATCTAAAGCCTAAAACCTTCATTCTCGCCTGATTTATCCGTTCCTGTACCACCTTTCATGTGTGTGTGGGGCCATTCTAATAACTTGTTTAACTGTAAACTAAATTGTATAATTTATCCCACTCTCACCCAACCGGTCGAGGCAGATGGCCGTCCCTCCTGAGCCTGGTTCTGTCGGAGGTTTTTTTTCCCCTGCGGAGGTTTTCGGTTCCTTCCCACTGTTGCGGACTGCTTGCGGATTGCTGAAGCTTATAGG